GTCTTGGGGTCGGCTGGTCTCGTGGTGCTGCGCCCGGTGCTGATTCCGGGTGGGGTGGCTCATGCGACGCCGACCCCGATGTAGAAGAGATTGCGGGGCTAGGCGCTGAAGTGCTACAGGGCTTTGAAGACTTAGCTGCAGTATGTCCCGACGGCAAGCCTGAAGTGCCTGGTGCATCTCCCGCTTTCGTGCTTCGAAGCATAGCAGGGCCCATGTCCTCGTGGGATTTATGGGCTGGAAGATCTTTCTGTTGTTCGGGAGGCGGCGGTTGGAGAGTTTTGTTAAAGAGCAGCATCTTCAGCCACATCTCCCTATCTCACCTGGCGCAGGCTGTTAACTTGGAACAATGGCTGTATTTATGGGGAATGTGGCCTTCCCCCAGGCACTTTATGCATCTGGAGTGTCCATCCGATGCAGACATGGCGTCTCCACATGATGCGCATTTTTTTGAAACCCGGGGAGCTGGGCACGTTGAGATCATCCGTCAGACTAAAACTAAGGGAGTCTGCGGAGTAACACTGAACTATATACAGTAACTAAAAAGTCTCTCTCTCTTTTTTTTTTAAACTAACTAACTAGAACTGTAAAATACTAACCAACTATAATGTAGGGGCTGAACTGGGATGAAAGAAAAGACTAAATATGATTGGTTCTGCTTTCTCCTCAGGCGGAGGCAGGAGCTTGTCCCAACTCTGTCTGCGACCGTGGACGGTTAGGAGGACCCCGCAGGACGGACTGCGCTTTGCAGAAAGGGTGCGAATAGCGCAAGGCGGCTTCTGCACATGCGCGGTCCTCCAGGAGCTACTGCTATAGAAAAATCTCCAGACTGCGGCGCCAGGACGAGCCCGACACCTTTCAGTGGAGCACCCATGGGGACACTACTCGAAGAAGAAGACCTGGAATTACTGTAAACAATTCAATGACAATCTTTGATCTAGGTACATCAGGAGTCCAAAAAGGCAATGCTAGGATGTTTAAGAAATAAGATGGAGTGTAATAGAGAAATAATTATAATACCTCTATATACACAGCGGCTACGTCTAGATTGCATCCCTCTTTCATAAAAGGGATGCAAATTAGACGTATCGCAATTGCTAATGAAGTGGGGATTTAAATCTCCCCCGCTTCATTAGCATAAAAATGGCTACCACTTTTTTCGGCACGGAGCTTTGCTGGAAAAAAGCGCCAGTCTAGACGCAGATCTTTCGGAAAATAAAGGCTTTTCCGAAAGATCCCTTATCCCTCTTAAAATAAGGGATAAGGGATCTTTCAGAAAATGAGTAACCCTCTAAATGTTGGGGGTTAGAAGGAAAGCCCTTTAGGGCATATTATCCCAGTACTGTCTTCTGCACAGTTTCCTGCATCTTCCTCTGAAGCATCTACTACACCAGGGGCGGGAAAGATATGGCCCACAGACTGAATCTGGCCAGCCAAGTCTTTTGATCCAGCCCACACCTACCCCTGCAGCAGCTAGCTGCTCCGTGTTGCTGTATGCCAGGGTGGGCAAGAGGCTGCCAGAGTGCTGAATCCAGCCCACCTAACCACCAGATCCAGCCCGTGGCCTCCTTGCCAGAACCCTTAAGCAGACAACAGCTCATACTTTAAACAGCCAGCTGTTCCCCACTCTGGAGAAGGGAGTCTTCACATGCTGCCCCCGCCCTGCCCTGTAAAATCTCTCAGTTCCCATTGGCCAGTTTCTGGCCAATAGGAGCTGAGAAATTTTGCTGGGAGGCAGTGTGGGAAATCTCCCTCCCTGCCTCCCATTCCCGGAGAAGAGCCACATGAAGCAGTCAGCAGCCTCAGACTGCAGCAGACAGTCTGCCTCAGGTTTCTGCAGGGCTGCTGGCTGGGAGCCACCTAGGTAAGCATTTTTCAGCCAGAACCTGCCTCTGGCACCCCACCCCTTTTCTCCACTCTGCCTGCCTGCCTCAGGCCACCACTCAAACCCTCTGAATCCCTTTCCCCCCTTCTCCCAAGTCACAACTCCCTCCCAGACCCTGCACACTCTCCTGTTCCCCTCTCCCAGAACAGAATCCTCTCCTGCATCCATATTCCCTCCCAGACCCTGTATCCTATTCCCCTGCCCAAGGTCACCATTCAAACCCTCTGCACCCCTTCACAACTCCCTCTCAGATTTTGCACCCCCTCTTAAAGCCCCTCCCCCAGGCCAGAATCATCTCCTGCACCCTTATCCCCTTCCTGGACCATGCACCACAAGCCCGTGCCCCAGATTACATCCTCCTCCTTCACCCAAACTCCCTCTCAGACCCCACACTCCCTCCAGCTCCCCAGTCTCCTACCCTAAGCTCCTTTCTGCACCCAACCTCCATCCCAGACCCCACAATCCCTCCATAGAAGTGCAACCCTTGACCACTTGCCACAATCTTGGAGTGCCACTCCCCCATTAAAATTATTGGCCACTCCTGCTCTATGTACTGCACAGAGAAGGAAAAGGCTTCAGCATGCTGTCCCACTCTCTCCTCCAGCAAAATCTCTCTGCTCCCATTGGAAGGAACTTGGTCAATAGGACCTGAGAGATTATGATGAGGGCAGGGGCAGCATGTGAAGCCTCTCCCTCCCTCCTCAATTCCGGCAGCACAGAGACCCAAATGCACAGCCAACCAGCGAGCTGGGACTGCTGAGGCAGGTGTAGTGGGAAGCTTGCCTGAGATTGCTGCTGGCCAAGAGATGTATAGATAAGCAGCTCCCAGCCAGAGCCCACCTCTGACACCCCACTCTCCTCCCAGGCCCCGCATCCCTCCTAAACTCTCCTCCAGCCAGAATCCTTCTCCTGAATCCATACCCCCTTCTGAATCCTGCACCCCAATCTCTTGCTCCAGGTCACAACCAAACCCTCTGTACCCTCCTCCCCCCTGCCTTACATCACAATTCTACCCCTATCACACCTCCCTCCTATACCACTCCCCCAGGCCAGAACACTTTCCTGCATCGATACGCCTGCCAGACCCTATGCCCTATTTCCCCGCCCTAGATCACAGCCCACTCCTTCATCCAAACTCCCTCTCAGATCCCACACTCTCCTGCACCCCCAAAGGTGTAGCGAGGGTGTTATGTGCCATGGGGCAAAGGCAAAATTTGTGACCCCCCCCCCCGCCGCTCCCCCCTGCCTCAACCCTGGGGGCAGGGAGGTAGTTTGTACTGTGTCTTCCCCACCCCCTCCAGTTTGGGGCCGGACCTCCACATGCACTAACCTGCCAGCAGACATGGAGGAGGGTCGGGCTGGGGGCGGAGAGGCAGGGAGAAGGCTCCAGCCAGTGGCAGCGGGCAGAGGAGGAACAGGCGAGTCAAGGGATGACAGGGGGGAGCGGAGGGGGACTAAATCAGCATCCTCCTAGCACGGCACCTGGAGGCAATTGCCCCCTCCTGCTCCCCCTCACTATGCCACTGTGTATTCCAGTTCCCTACCCTGAGCTCCCTTCTGCACCCAACCTCCATCCCAGACTCCACAGCCCTTCCATAGAAAAGTGTGGCCCTTGACCACTTACCATCACGAATTATTGCCCACCCTGCACTTCAGTCCACTGCCAGAAACAATATACTTATCTAGATGGACCACTTGTCTGAGCCAATGTGGAGATTTCTATGCTGAAGATAATTTCTTTCTCCAGATGGGAGTGTTGAAGACATAGCCTTTTGCAACCTTGAGTAATCATTATCACTCTCTACTGAGTCCTACCTAGTAAAGCAGTTGCATGGATAGGTTCTTTAAGGGGGCATTTTGTCCTCGCCAGAAATTTAAGGCTAGGTATAAGAGATCTGTAGGATCCTGATTGTGAAGCACACTATGCCCCTCCCCCCACAAGTTCAGTGTCTATGCTCACACAAGTAGGAAACAATTTTGTTGAATATCTTACTTCCCTGGAACACAGTAAGGTTTTTTTTGTATACTTACGAGACCATCTGGTATGTGGCATAAGTACAAGTGGGTCCCAGGACAACACAGCCAAGTGTGCCACTATCCTGCAAGAAATAAAACAGCATTTGCAACAGAAAGTGCAACGTAAGGGAAGGGACTACCAATATGGAAAATGCTCAATATGGAGCGAGGCGCAAGCAAGGAGGACTGAGGGGGGAGACTGAAATGTGGGAAAACTGAACTGAGATGAACTGCCATGGAGCAAATGCAGGGTAGTGAGAGAAGGGGCTAGTGAATGAGGGAAAGGATAAGAGGGTGAATCTGGAGCAAGAGGAGCAGGGAAGGGACAGAACGATGCATAGCAGTGTGTGATTTGCACAGAGATGTATAACAAAGTTGTGTGGGAGCTCAAGTCTGGAACAGCACGGAGAACTAGATGTCAGAATAAAAATGCATCATCCGAGCTCTATTGGAGTTGCAGGTGAGGAGTGAAGTAGCTAAAGAGGGGCTAGCTATACATATGTATGGGGCTTCTATAAATTGGAAAGGAGGAGAAATGATTATCTGTATAGGAAGCGTGTACTTTGCCACCAGCACACACTATACCTGCCTCTAGTCAACACTCGTAACCCTCACTTTCACATATAGAAAAGAAGGATTCTGGTAGAAATGCCCAGTACTTACATAGAGTTGCCTGATGACCTCCACCCCTTCACAGGTACTAGTATGGCAGCCCTGTGAGACATACAGTGAGGTGTTGAAGCCATGGTAGGTGGCACTGATCGTCACATTTTTTTCTATGGGAAAAATGGAAAATAGCATTACAAGCCACATCTACTCACTCATGATCCTTCAGTTCATGACAGGGCAACAATCATGGACATGTCTAGACTACATCCCTCTTTCAAAAGAGGGATGTAAATTAAGCAGATCGAAAGTGCAAATGAAGCAGGGATTTAAATATCCCGCGCGTCATTTGCATAATCGGATCACAGCGTTCTTTCGAAAAAGGGTATTTTGAAAGTGAAACTGCAGTCTAGCTGTGAGTACGGGATCTTTTGAAAAGGATTTTTTTTAAAGAACCGTGTCTAGACTGCAGTTTCACTTTTGAAATACCCTTTTTCAAAAGAACACTGTGATGTGATTATGCAAATGATGTGCGGGATATTTAAATCCCCGCTTCATTTGTACTTTTGATCTGTCTAATTTACATCCCTCTTTCGAAAGAGGGATGTAGTGTAGACATAGCTATAGTAACAGTTCCAGATTAAGAACATTCTGGACTCTGCAGACATAATAACCTGAGCCCTGCTCTATGGAGTGACTGGTGCCTGCAGAGGGAGGAGGTGCAGGGAGGGCCACCTATAGAGGCAGGGAGGGGCATGTGGGGGCACCTCATTTAGCCAATTAAAATTTGGAGGGGGCATAGAGGAGCAGTACACCTCATAAGTGTTACCACAAGTCACCTATGATGCTATACTCTCTGTTCCTGAGGCCTCCTGTCAGTAGTTTTTAATTTTTTTTTGAAGGGTAGTAGGGCCCCAGTTTCAAAAACCACTGTGCAACCTGCACTTACCCTGCCGCAGTGGTCCCTGTCTCATGGGGCTGGAGCTGGCTCTCTGTTCTAGGCATGGTGACCTAGCAGTTGGGGTTGCAACACGGCTCAGGTTTGTCCAGCTGCACATTGGTCATGGAAAAGTGGCTGGGCCAAATGTAAGTGTCATTGCAACCCTGGGTGCAGATCACAATGCTACTAACTACTACTTCATGGGTTTGGGGAGGGTTGGGTTTTCTGAGGGGCCTGGGCTCCAACCCCAGAGGCCCGTCCATCATACCTGCACATGTCTCCCATCCCAACATTCAGTGGAGCAATTCTCCCTACCCTCCATTCCACTAGATGTGACGACAGAATTAGTGCCAATATAGAGGACTGACATCCTCCTCTGATGCACAACATATTGGGCATGATCAGAGACAGGATATCGGATTGATTTTTAAAGCTACAGGAAAAAAAATCAGAAGGCAAATTCAAATGAAACAAAAGGACAAAACACTCAAATTTGGAAGGAAAAGGAAATAGTTTTCTTAGACATTGCTGTCGCAGGACATTATGGAGGCAGGTAGTTGTTTAGTGATGTTGAGAAGAAGTATTAAATATGAAAAGGAGTAAGACTAATATCTGCAGTGATACTACCAAAATTAAAAGTTATGAGGGCTGCTGATCTATGCTTTTCAAAGAATAATGTGAGCAGCAGCTGGAGTCCATTTCTTTACCATAATGTTACAAAATTATGTGCGTCATTGGAGCAGGAGGTTGACACATCTGTCATTATCTAACATAGAAGTTACCCGATTAGATAGATCACTAGCCTGTTCTAATAAAGGAGGAGCCAGGATACTGGACTCAATGGACCCTTGATCTGATCTAGTTCAGTACTTCCTATGTTCTCAATTCCCAAATGATCATTTTATTTCAGAAATTATCTCAGGAAGGATTTGCATCAACTGGCACACACATCCCTAGTTCAGCCCTTGCATTGTGGCTCACTGGTTTTGAGAGAAGGAGGACAGTTATTGCCTAATCTACATGGTGACCGGAAAGCCCTACAACAGCTCTTTGGGGCAGTTTGTAAAAGCACTGAGTGAGGGTGGGCCAGGATTTGGAGTTTGATCCAAAAACTCTAAAGGAGAAAGGAATCATATTCTTACCTTCCCCCTGCAGCTCCTTTTCTACCATACGTAATCCTAGTTCCACCGCTGGTTTTATTTTATCAAAGGTCCATGGAAGATCTGAGTGATTCAGCTGCATCACATTGATTACATAATTGTCCTTGATGCACTTGCTCTCACCAACTTGCCAAAGCATCAGGAGACAGAGGAGTAATGGCCAGAGATCCCGACCCTGCATTTGTTGCTTCATTATTCCTCTCAGTTTAGACCCACTGCTCACGTCCTCTCTACGTTGTTCCTGGGTAGGGTGAAACAAAGATTTGCATTGTATATCCAGCGATCAGCTATACCACATCTCTTTCACACTTTAATTCTTTCCCCTTTTCAGTATCTACATCCACCCCACATCCATTTACCCTAACTCGCACATTTGCTTGTGAGCAATAACAGAACTCAGGCACAGAGCGAGGCCAAAGGTTGCTTTGCATGTTTGTTCATTAAAAGGCTTAGGCTATAAAAAGGAGACATTACTGGCACCTTGTCTGATAAGAACAATATAACTTTGCATCACAGTGATGGGTAGAGAAGAGAAAGAAGGAGGGGCCAACCTGATTGTAAAAGGAGGCCTTTTAAAATTAATATAAAAGAAGAGCTCCATTAAAGCCACAGAGGAACACAGATGGTTCCTTTGTGTTTTGGCCTGCCATCCCACCCATATTGGCTGTGCCACTAACTCTGGGGATTATTATATTACTACATATAATTTTTATGTCTTTAAGGGTATGTCTACAAAGCAACATTATTTCGAAATAACTAGCATTATTTTGAAATAACTTAGTCTGTGTCCACACAGCAGGCAGTTAGTTTGGAATAATGATGAAATACCATCAAGCTGGAGGACTTCTTACTCCAACTCCTGTAACCCTCATTGTATGAGGAGGAAGGTAAGTTGGAGGAGGAGTGGTCTATTTCAAAATAAGTGCTGTATAGCACTTATTGTATAAGACGCTCCCAATTTTGAAATAAGTTATTTCAAAATAAGCTACGCAATTGATGGAACTCAATTTGTGTAGCTTATTTTGAGTTAAGCCCTGCGGTGTAGATGCACCTAACATACCATTTTCATTACTTAAATGTTTCCCATAAAAATAATTTTTAGTGATGGAAAAAAATGCCTCACTGAAAACCTCCATTTTTATCCACAGAATAGAATCAGCACCGAATCAATATGATAGGAATCTCCCAATATCACCATGGGGCCACGTACCCCAACTCTGCTATAGAGAAATCATCTCTAGAGAATGCAGTTTTAATAGTCTATTTAGGTCTTGACCTGTCTACTGAGACTACCTATGAGAGGAGCAACTGTATTAATTGTTTTTGTGATTGGCTGTTAAGAGTCATGCAGGGACCCAGTTCTTGCAGGTCACAGATTTGACATGTGGGACCAAAGCCAAACCTCAAATGGTACAGTTGACATTCAGAAGAAGTTGACATCTAGAGAAGGGGATAAACAGTGAGGTGGCCAAATTTGCAGATGATACCAAACTGCTCAATATAGGACCAAAGCAGACTGTGAAGAGCTTCAAAAAGATCTCACCAAACTAAATGATTGGGCAACAAAATGGCAAATGAAATTTAATGTTGATAAATGTAAAGTAATGCAAATTGGAAAAATAATCCCAGTTATATATATGATGGGGACTAATTTGGCTACAACTACTCAAGAGAAAGATCTTGGCATCATTGTGGATAGTTTTCTGAAAACATCCACTCAATGTGCAGCGGCAGTCAAAAAACAAATAGAATGTTAGGAGTCATTAGAAAAGGAATAGAGAATAAGACAGAGAACAACTTATTGCCTCTATATAAAACCATGATATGCTCACATCTTGAATACCGTGTACAGATGTGGTCACCTCATCTCAAAACAAATATATTGGCACTGGAAAAGGTTCAGAAAAGGGCATCAAAAATGATTAGGGGTTTGGAACGGGTCCCATATGTAGAAAGATTAAAAAGACTTGGACTTTTCAGCTTAGAAAACAGGAGACTAAGGGGGTATATGATAGAGGTCTATAAAATCATGACTGGTATGGAAAAAGTGAATAAGGAAAAATTATTTACTTATTCCCACAAAAAAGAATTAGGGGTCACCAAATGAAATGAATAGGCAGCAGGTTTAAAACAAACAAAGGGAAGTTTTTCTTCACTCAGCGCACAGTCAACCTGTGGAACTCCTTGCCAGAGGATGTGGTGAAGGCTAGAACTTTAACAGGGTTCAAAAAAGAGCTAGATAGATTCATGGAGGTTAGGTCCATCAATGGTTATTAGCCAGGATGGGTAGGAATGGTATCCCTAGCCTCTGTTTGTTGGAGGTGGGTGACGGGAGGGATCACGTGAGGATTACCTGTTGTGATCCCTCCCTCTGTGGCATCTGGTATTGGCCACTATCGGCAGACAGGATACTGGTCTAGATGGACCTTTGGTCTGACCCAGTATGACCATTCTTATGTCGAAATAATAGGGCAGTTTTCTGGAGTGAATCTTCCCAAAAACACGTCCTGAGAATGTTCTCAAAGCAGGGGGTCAGAAAGACAGGGGGGGTACTGACCCCTGACTATTCTGATAAGGGAAAAAAGTAAATGGAAAGGTGGAGGAATCCAACAGCCCTTAACACAGACAAATATTGAATCCATGTTTTACTTAATATGATGGGTCTTGCATTTTTGGACTAATGGACATCCATGGGAGCTACTGCCTGCCCACTAGAACATGGACTGAAGCCCCACTGGAGACTAAATAAGCTTTTATAAGCTTCTGAAAATGATTTTTAAACAAAGAAAATTAAACACCCTCTGAACAAATACAGTGTTTGCGGCACAGACCCACTGACCATAATTTTCTTGGTTTATCACATTATTAAAGCCCGTGTTTAAAGGCGCATCACATATTTATATACCTCTTTACAACATCTATGTATTATTTTATATGAGCCATCCCATAATGCCAAATAAATGCTTTGCTGTTCTTTAGTTCTGAAGGTGGGATAACTCAATGGCAGCAACTAAGGTTTACGAGCAAACCATATTACTCTATCCAGAATATAAATATGAGCCTAGAACTGCAAACCAGCCCATCTAACCTTGTGCTCATAAACAATGTAGGAACTCTAAATAACAAGGTATAATAGAAGAAAGAGCATGGGAGTGGATGGATGGACCAGCAGATTGGGAATGGAATATGAAGCATTTTGTGTCTAGATCATTGGCTCATCTCTGGCTGTTCTGGGGTAATTATTAAGGGTCTAATTATTTTCCCACATATGTCAATGGCAGTTTTGTCATTGATTCCAGCGGGAGCAAGCTTTGGACCTAAATGCTCTTCTTAGCCTGCCTTCTGGAAGCATTCAGCAGATACTAGTAAAGTACAGTAAATTAATTATGTTACATGTTTATGTCATTATACCTATGGGAAGTGTGTAATATACTGTATTATGTGGTCACTCAGACTGTTGTAAATATCACAAATATTGAGAGGGGAAGGGACAGAGAGATTCCTGAATTTCTGTGTTAGATTTGACATCTTTGCTCTATTGCAGTCAATGGAGTGTTATACTGACGTAAGTGGAGCTAAGATTTCATCCTCAACTCAAGGACACTGCTTTGTTTGCTCACCTTGCTGTTGTATTGGATAATAAACAACTGGAATTTGTTCAATTGAGTTTAAACAGATAATACTGCATTAACTTCCTGTTCTAAAACTACTATGAGTGCTTCAGTCTTATTCTTCTGGAATATTCATATACACAAAGAATAACAGAACTCAGAAAAGGAGAATACCTACTGAGTTGCTCTGTTAGCTCCTTCAGCCGATTAATATTAGTCCCTGTAAAATGTTATCCAGTCCAGTTCTAAATTTCTCAAGTGACGGGGCATTAAACACTAATTGTATTACAAACATTATTAGAAGTACAAGAACACTGTGCACTAGTTGGAACATAACAGACATGGTGTAACAGAGTCCCTTAGTCTAGAGAACTCGCATTCTAAAGGTGTAATGGGGTACAGAGTGGGCCAGTTATATTTCCACACCTTAATAGAGATCATTGTTTCATTGTTAACAATCTTTTCTGGTATCCATCCTTATCTTCCTTTTCTTAATTACATCCCACTTTCTTATTTGTACTCCTTGGTCAACTCATAATAATTCCTCTCCCTCCTGAAAGGTGGAGATAGAGGAGTAATAGTGAGAAGCAAGTAACTGAGGATTCCTGAAAACATACAGCCTGGCAATCAGTAAGTGATGTGAGCATATCAGATGAATGTAGCAGCAATGAATAACAAAGCATGGGTGTTAACATTATTTCTGTCCCCCTACTAACTTGGAGGGGTGCATGAACTCATATTCTGCATTTTAGGGATATCTTTTATTTGGTGCCTAATATCCCACATTCTGTCTGAAGTACTAAGGAACATTCAATCAGCTAAAAGAATATTTTAAAATAGTCATGTAGAGAATCATACACTGCTACACAAATATCTGATTTTATATTCTGAATGAAACATGGTGGTATGTAAAGAACAATTAATTTACTAGTTGAGTATTCGATGGAATTTCCACCAACTATTTGACTCGTTGATAGGCACTTCCACATTCCTCCTTTGAAATGTGCATTTAAAAATTGGAACTCCATGTGCCAGCTTTGAAATGTACAAGATGCTACAGTGGGGGCTCTTGTGCATTTCAAAGTGGAAGCACCCATATGGAGCATGGAGTCAGCGGGACTTCCTGCTGGCACTGGGCTGCATGCGGCATGCCAGTTTGTAATGTACAAGAGTCCCCAGATGATACCAAGTTCCATGCTGTGCTGCCGCTTTGAAATGCCACACAGCACCCAGGGTCAGCTGAAAAGTCCTCAGCTGATCCTGGGCCCAGAGCGGCATTTCCCCAGAACCCAGGATCAGCTGGGGGCTTCCTAGCTGATCCCGGGCTCTGTGTGCTTTGAAATGCCATATTTGAGCCCGCTGATCCTGGGTTCCTCTTGGCATTTCAAAGTGGCAGCGCCACACGGAGCCCGGGATCAGCTGGGGACTCCCCAGATGACTCCAGGTTCCACAGAAATGCCACAGGAAGCCAGGGGTCAACTAGCTAGTCCCCAGCTGATCCCGGGCTCCATGCGGTGCTGCCGCTTTGAAATGCTGGGGCGGCATTTCAAAGGGGGAGAGCCACATGAAGCCCAGGGTCAGCTCCGTGCAGCGCTACCTCTTTGACGTACCCTCTCTTCCTCCCTGCTTT